AAAAAGATACTGGTTTTTTAAAAAAAAAAAAAAAAAAAGCAGGGAACAAATTGGTTGTTCTTCACGTAAAAAACCCTAGCAATTGTAGATAAGCTGCATTTGGCGAGATTTACCACATATTTCCTTTGGCCTGTCCAGCTGTCGTTATACTGGAAAAGAACACCCAGGTATTTGAAATGTTTCACCTGTTCAATACTGTTACCATTTATAAGCCAGTTAAAGCATTTCCAAGATTTTGAAAACACCAAAATTTTAGATTTTTCCAAAATTACCAATAAGGAATTGTGCTCGCAGGATGTAAATGCAGTTAAAAGATGCTTAAGGCCCTTCTGGGTGAGCGACAATACTACAGCATCGTCTGCATACAGTAATAGAGGGATATGTTGAAGACCCAGTTTAGGGCAGTGACCATCAATCACACTCAGAGAGGAGTTCAAATCATTCAAAAATAGATTGAATAAATAGGGTGCCAAAATGCAGCCTTGTTTGACTCCTCGGTTTGTAAGGATCTTAGATGCTAGTAAAACAGAGTTTCTATATCTTACTTGACAGCTGGTGGAAGAATATAGTTTCCGGATAAGGAAGAGTAGCCGTTTATCTATTCCCATCTTATTCAATTTAACCCATAGGAGATTCCTGGGAATTGAATCAAAGGCCCCTTTTATGTCCATCAGAGGTCCATCAGTGGCTATTAGCCACAAGGTATAGATAGGGGCTCTGGGGCAAGTGATGCTCTGTCTTCTTGGTGCTTGGGGGGGTCAACAGTGGGAGGGCTTCTAGTGTCCTGGCCCCACTGGTGGACCTCCTGAGGGCACCTGGTATTTCTGGCCACTGTGTGACACAGAGTGTTGGACTGGATGGGCCTTTGGCCTAATCCAAAATTGGCGTCTCTTATGTTCTTATGTTAAGTCAAGGAAGGCACAGAATAATTTTTTCGGGCTTCTCCAGAATATTTCTCCACCAAGTGAGCAAGAGTTACACAATTGTCTAATGTTGTACTACCTGTGCAGAACCCAACCTGCTCGGCTCCCAGAAGGTTTTGATCTGCAATCCAGGAGGTCGGTTTATCTGACAGATGCCTTGCATAAAGCTTGCCCACTATTGAAAGCAGGCTTATTGGGTGGTAGTTTCCTGGATAATTTGGATCCCCTTTTTTGAAGATTGGAACTACAATAGCATTTGTCCATAAAGCAGGTATGGTCCCCTTTTTGTCTGTTAGGGTAGCCATTGGGGAAGCCCACCAGTCTAGATGGTCTTTAAACAACTCAGATGGAAGTCCATCTGGGCCTGGGGCCTTTCTAACCTTTAGTTTATTTATTATACTTTTAATTTCAGTTGGACTAACTGGGGCCCATTCAGGCAAATCAGGGGGAAACGGAACCTCTTGTTGCTCTGGTAGATCTGCAGAAGAATAAAAAAAGATCTTTAAGAAATAATCTGTCCAAGTCTGGGGAGGTATGGGGCAAATAAGAGCCGCAAATTTACCCCTAAATTTTCCAGCTATTATAGCCCAGAATTGTTTGCTGTCCTTAGATAAAGATGCCTTAATTAATAAGTCCCCTTCTCTAGTATGTAGCAGCCTCTTCTTGTAGGCTATGGTGGTTTGTAATTGTTTAATTTGAAATATTCAGTGGGAATGTTGGCACCTTCATGTTTCCGACAGACACGATAGGTGGCCCGGAGCTGAGTCTTTAAGCACTGGCATTCATTATCAAACCACTCATCAGTATTATTCCGAGGGGAGGAGTGGAAAGGCTTCGACTGATTGCAAAATACACGATTAATGGTGTCTACTAGGCTATCATAGGCACAAAAGGCAGCAGGGGGGTTGTTAATGTTAGTTCATTGTTGCAATAGGTCATAGGCCCAATCTGACTGTAGAAACTGGCGGTACTCCATCCTCGTGGTAACCAGGCTCTGGGTAACAGGAGACACAGAGGTGGGGCCACTGGGTGTGGATGGGAGCCAGGAGACCTGTCCCTCCTAGCCGGTAATTCCCCAAATGGGCAGGTGGTGGCAGTGAGTTACCCAGGTGGTGGCAGTGAGTTACCCAAGCAGAAGAAAGAGGAAAGCCCCTTCAGGAGTTAGCAAGGCCCAGGAGTGGGTGGGCAGAACAGAGCCTGCAGGTCAGAGCAGGCCAGTTCCGTCACACCGTGCATAAAATTTTGTTCACATCTTAATAAAATGTTGTTGGTCTTGAAGGTGCCACTGGACTCAAGCTTTGTTAAGCAACTGTATAATAACTCGGAAGTTATCCCCAAGTGCTTACCCAGCACCCTCCCACATACAGGCTCAAAAGCCTAATCTGGCAGCCTTTCACACCATTTCCTTACTTCATCGTAAAGCTGGATCTTCACGTCACAAGGGGAAAAGCGGTAAAGTATGACACCACTGATGCTGCTGATTGGCTGACTCTCTCTCAATGGGAAGCTGCTCTTTGGCAGCTTCTCAGTACCCCCCTCTGCTCCAGAGACGGGTGGGACTTTCTGCCTCTGATGATCTTCTCCCACCAAGAAGAGATTGCTACGGGTGCTGAGCAATGTCACGGGAAAGGCAGATGCTCCTGAGAAGAGGATTACACAGGCTAATGGTGAACTGAGTTAGACCAAAACACACAATTCTTGTTGCAGTGGACAGACAGACAACTACGGGAAGAGCAAGCTCACAGGTCCCATACCTTGGATGAGATAAACCAAGAGGTAGAAGAAAGGCTTGGCTGAGCCACCCCCAGCTTCTTTTGCTAGGTCTTTGTCAAGGAATGCCCTAAAACACAAGCACAAACAACCAGGGCAAAAACGCAAGACAATTCATCTTCAGCTGCTGCTCCCATCCCGTCCAGCTTAGCTGAACTGACCACTTCATATTTCAATCATGCCCACAGCAATTGCCTGCTGGCATCTATCACACTCCACATAAGAGCAACAGGCTACTTACCACAGTGGATGACACGGAGTCATTTCTGCCACAGTGACCTCTGGGATTTCTCTTCGGCTCTTGGCTGGCAATTCCCGCATGAGATCTGGATGGGGCATTGGGGGACAACATTATGTCACTGATACATGTGCCAGGCAGGTAATCCTGCCAGTATAACTGTCAGTAAGCAGAAGCTATTAAAAACTGCACCGTTCTGTTCAGATAAGAATCTTCCTTCACAAAAGCCCTGAACAAACAAAGATACATGAGAACACACTGGGTACAGAGTAGAATGGCATCCCTAAGGTTATCTGAGCAAAGGCTGTAAGCCTTTGAAGTACATCAGGACAGGAGAAAACCCATGCCTAAGCAGGGCTATGTTGTGATGCTTACCTTCCAGTAAACAGACCTGAGGCCAAGCTAACAGCAGAGCCACTCACTAGCTCTTGATCAGCCAGTTTGGTGTAGTGGTTAAGTGTGCGGACTCTAATCTGGGAGAACTGGGTTTGATTCCCCACTCCTCTATTTGCACCTGCTGATGTGACCTTGGGGCAGTCACAAGCTCTGGCACAGCTGTCCTTGAAAAAGAGCAGTTTGTGTCAGAGTTCTCTCAGCCCCACCCACCTCACAGGGTGTCTGTTGTGGGGAAGGGAAGGGAAAGGAGTTTGTAAGCCGCCCTGAGACACCTTTGGGTAGTGAAGGGCGGGGTATAAATCCAATCTCTTCTCTCTTCTTCTTCTTCTTGTTTTTCTTGCCTCCCATCTCAGGGAGCCATACTAAAAACTCAGACCCTTCACTCTTCCCCACAGCTGCTGACACACACATCCCCAAGAGCACCACCACACTGACTTAGGAAGCACTCACACATCAAGATACCCAATACCGCCTTACGTGTTAGGCATTGCAGGAATCTTCTGCAGCGGTTCTGGTTGCGAAGTAGCAGAGTGTAGGAGGCGCATGGGTTCTCAAACTCAATGTGCAAGCTCTGGTAGAACAGCCCCACCTCCCAGGCACAGAGGCTACAGAGACTGTGGCAGTCAGTCTTCTTCAGCCAATCTGACGGCTGCCCCCTAGGCACAGATGAGCCAAATGTGAGTCAGCACATGGAAAAGGAACACCCACATTACTCAACAGGATAGGAGGGGAGATGAGAACACAGGAGGCCGCGTCCGGTATGCACGGGCACTGAGGCAAGGGTAACCGTGTTCTTGGATCAAGAGCAGTGATTGGGAGAGTCCACAGCTCCATTGGGGAACACATAGTTTGCTAACAGAAGGACCCAGGTGACAGGTGCTGGAGAAGATCTCTGCTCAAGCCCACGTAAAGCCACCACTAGTAAACAGCAGGAAAAGTGGACCAACGGTGTGACCGGGTATGTTTAAGACTTTCAACAACTAAGAGTACATGAAGGGAATGTCAAGTCAGGAAACTGAGCAGAAGTAGCAGCAGCACACTGGGAAGGCCACTTTTCACCTGATTTCTCCCTTAATCTCCAAGAAATAGAGCTGGACGTCTGAAGCCACGACGAGTGCCAGAAACTCCCCAGGCTGGCCATCTTTCACTACACTGACCTGGAAAGAGGAGAGGAAAGCGTAAGCAATTGTCCAGTACAGAAACTCCAAGAGCACCGCCTGTTTCAGTAAGTCAAAAAAATGGTCACATGATCCAATATAGCAGTTTGTGCATTGTACTACGAGCTGTTTTACACACCTTTAGGAAACACTTGAACTCTTCTGACTTATCGAAGACTTCCATGTCCAAATAAAGCTTGAGACGATGGTCTACAGAACAGAAGTCCCGCATGGTCAACATAGTGTTTGAGGCTGCAAGGTGACAAGCAACAGCAAATGAATGGCAACAACAGTAAGGGCAATAAATGTAAGCCTGCAACATGACGGTCTGTATCCATATTACCTACACAGTCAATCCAGTTGCTCCAGGTCTGATGTAGTCACACCTGAAGCTTAGAGCAGGGCTTAGAATCCCTTCCAATACAGATCCTTTAAGCCACTGGTGAGTTACATTAGCTCAATCAGTTTTAAAGCTAGAATTTCCCCTGAGCATCCCTGCCTTTCAACTTTGTACCAGCTGGAAGGAAAAATGCAGCCATGAGCCTCTGTTATTCAGAAGGATGTCGAAGTGCCGCTGCCTAGTCAACTTACACAGACATCTTCCTCTCCCAAGCAATTCCTTAAGATGCCTGTCTCTGGTCATCCTGCAGTTCAGTAACTACGACAGGTATCTCAAAATCTTATGATATCAGGTTTAATAAAAAGCCTCATGAGAAATTAACTTTCACATCTGGAGTGGGGAAAAGGACAAAAAAAATGTGGAATAGGTGAATGCTCACTTCCATTAAAGCAACGTCAACTCAAGTCACTCAGGTCATTCAAGGGGGCGGCACAAAAAGCAAGAGCTGCATTTTAAGCCTTTTCCTTCCAGACCACGTTGCTAGTCCTCTCCTTCCTGCACTGGATCACAGAAGTCTCCAGCCCATGGGTGACGACCCTCAGGTGGGTCGCAGGGTCTCAACCGCTCCTCTCTAGAGCGGCCATTTAGGCGGGCTGGAGTCCCTGCTTCAGTTTACATGCCCGCTGGCAGGAACAGCAGGGTGGCACAGCACGGTCCTTTCACAGTGGGGACGACTCCTCCCTGACTCTGCCCCTTGGCTTGCTCCTCGCTACATTTCCTGGCGCTTTTGTTTCCTTACCCTGCTTGATGGTTCGCTATTAAGTCTTGTCCTCGGCACCACTGAGGTCACAACTCTGGCTGCCACATCATTCTGCCGGCCGGGGCTTGCCGCTCATGGGGCCCTGGACTTGTAGAGCGTGCTGCTCCCTCCACCCCGTGTTTCCGCTTAACGTGCCTTCGTTCCCTACTAGGGCATTCTTCTCTATATACTCCCACAGCACTCTTCTCTTTGAGCCAGTACCACTTGTACAACTGTTTTTACACAGGCCTCTTCACAATGCCACTCACTGCCTTTTTTCTTCCCTTAGTCTCTACGCTTCATTTCTCCTCCCCATCTTCTGATCTCTTGTCCTCCAAGGCTAGAGATCAGAGAGTGACAAAAATGTAATCCATTTATTCTTCCCGCACTTCATATACTGAAAGCTTTAAGAACATAAGAACATAAGAGACGCCAATGTTGGATCAGGCCAAAGGCCCATCCAGCCCAACACTCTGTATCACACAGTGGCCAAAAATACCAGAGCCATCAGGAGGTCCACCAGTGGGGCCAGGACACTAGAAGCCCCCTCCCACTGTTGACCCCCCCCAAGCACCAAGATGACAGAGCATCACTTGCCCCAGAGCCCCTATCTATACCTTGTGGCTAATAGCCACTGATGGACCTCTGCTCCATATGCTTATCTAATTCCCTTTTGAAGCCGTCCATACTTGTAGCCGTCTATGCTTGTAGGACTGAATCTTGCTTGTATCCTAGCTGGATAGAAACAGTTCCGAGTTCTGTTTCGTGTGGCAGAAAGCTGAGAACTGGTTTGTATGATGATCTAATTGATTAACTCTCCTGTATTTCAAGGGCAGCAGTGTGCACATTCGTGTGAGTACAACGTTATGGCTCTCATTGCCGCTCTCTGTATTTCAGCCACAGACAATGATAATAGGATTGCTGAAGGAGATGGCTATCAAATTTGAAGAGGAACTCCCTCTGTACTCATTGTCATCCTCTGATGCAGCCAGACAGATGGAGCTGTTGTCCTACATTGCAAAGATCACTGAAGGTGTGCATTGCGGGGCGACTTTTAATCTGGTATTCATAGCTGTTGTCTGTTCTGTGTTGGTAGACTTTGGGTTTTGCGTTGGGTTTTCTGTTTTATCAACTCACTCCTGGTCTCTCTTGTCCCAGGGCAGCTGAGCAAAGGTTCTGGGGGAAGACTCTCAGTGGCAAGGGAATGGCTTGTCCCCTTGTTCCAGCGTTCGGCATCTTCCCCCATCCTGTGTCTTGAGGCTGTGGAAGCTAACGGAACTAGAGTTACCAGGTCCCCACCATCCCACTTGAGCTTCCATGGGATGAGACCTAATGACATAGTCCTGATGCGCAGCCCTAAAATAGTAGTTTCACACATCTCTAGGAATTGTCCTATGTGGTACATGTGGATGTGTGTAGGCACAGTAGTTTATCTCTTCAGAAGCTTTTGGAGAGGTGCGCTATTAATCACAGACTCAGAAGAACAACAACAACCAACCATCAAAATTAACTGAGCACTAAACAGAGGCTAGATGGCCATCTGATAGCAGTGCTGATTCTGTGGACTTAGGCAGATCATGAGAAGGGAGGGCAGGGAGGGTTGCATCCAGGGGTATTTTTGGGCAGGAACGCACAGGAACGGAGTTCCGGCTGGCTCCTGAGTTGGCCACGCCCAGCAGGAACTCATTAGCATAATAGGCCACACCCGACAACAGAAACCCATTTGGATTGGCTACATTAGGGGTGTGTGGCCTAACATGCAAAGGAGTTCCTGCTACAAAAAAGGCCCTGGGTTTTGACAAACAAGGTAAACAGAATAATAAGCAAAAGGTGGGTGTGGCTGGATGACCACACTTCTGGCAACACGGGGCTGCGGCCTAATATACTAAAGAGCTGTGGTGTCAGGGTGTGGCCTATTATGCTAATGAGTTCCTGCTGGGTTTTTTCTACAAAAAAAGCCCTGGTTGCATCAGTGCGTAGTTCTTGTGACCCTTTCTTACACATCCAGGGAAATGCTGATCGCCACTTTGGGGTCAGGAAGCAATTGTTCTCCTATACTAAAGAGCTGTGGTGTCAGGGTGTGGCCTATTATGCTAATGAGTTCCTGCTGGGTTTTTTCTACAAAAAAAGCCCTGGTTGCATCAGTGCGTAGTTCTTGTGACCCTTTCTTACACATCCAGGGAAATGCTGATCGCCACTTTGGGGTCAGGAAGCAATTGTTCTCCGGGCCAGTTTGGCCAGGGATCCTGAAGGGTTGGGGTTTCCCCTCCCTTCTTGGCATAGAGCAGGGGTCACTGGGGTTGGGGGGGGAGGTATTTGTGGATTTCCTGCATTGGGCAGGGGGTTGGACTAGATGACCCTGGAGGTCCCTTCCCGCTCTATGATTCCGTGATTCTAGAAGTTATACGTAGTCAGAGTGTTAATGCTACCCAGGGCTTTTTTGGTAGAAAAAGCCCAGCAGGAACACCCAACAGCTGAATTCATTAGCATATTAG